CCCCCCCCCTTTTTTTGAGAAGAAATGCAGCCAAAGAAGTAAATAACCCCCTCCCTCCCGGGCCGCTCGCGCGGGCGGCTCTGGAAGTGAAACCCTAGCCCACGAGCGCACCCCTCTCTTCGTGGCCCCCTGGCCGCCGCCGGCGCCGGCACTGGTGGTGGTGACGGCGCCTGGCCGACAAAGGAGGTGGGCGAGTTCCGCACGCCCTGACGGGCCTTCTTCGCGCGGAGAAGGGCATCTGGCGTTCGGCGTGGTGGCGGGGGGATTCTGGTGAGGCGACACATGGTGGAGAGCGTACTGGAGATGCGGAGCGCGGTTGCGAGGCAGTGCGGGCGGCTGTCTTCTTCGGGCGCCGTGTTGGGAGCCGGAGGTTGCGGTGCAGGGTCCTGGTGGCTGTGGATCTCGTCCAGGTGCGGCGCCTGGGAGCGGTGGCCGGGACGCCCGGAGCGCCTCCTGCTTGCGGCGGGCGTGGCTCGAGGAAGGCGCCCCCTTTTGGGGAGATGGGGGCAGCGTCGTCTGGATCCAACCGGAGGCTGGAGCGGGCCCTCACGCAGGGGTGGGTGCGCGCGGTCGCGACGAGCGGCACGGCGCGCTAGCTTCTTCCAATGCGGGCGCGGATGGCTTCCTCTTCTGCGGCCGCGTGCGCCGCCGCATCCACCGCCGCCATGTTGGCAGCGATACGGGCCTCGGTGGCCTTTATCCTCTCCTTCCCACGGCGGGAAAACCGGTCCCGTTGGGATTCATAGACCGCCCGGCCGGTGATGGGGAAGGAGAGATTTTCCGGATGCCGGGACCGTGATAGTCTAACCCCGGAGGATCCGTGCGCCCGTTGAGCCGACGCAATAGAGTCGCTCCGGACAGATCCTACCGTTGAACGGGCGCTGTCCTCCCGGGAGCGGTCGAGTGCAATGCGGACAGCCATTGCCCCCTCCAACCAGAACGGGATGACACCCCAGTCGACGGATCCGGACTGGTCGGAGTAAGATCCGCTGCCCGCCATGCCGGAGACGGCCGAAGATCGCCGGAGGTGAGCTTCGGTGGTAGAGGCTAGTGGAGTGAAGTGGCTAGAGTTTGGTCTAGCGAGCGGATGGAGAGGAATATATGGGGGGGGTCGGGTGAGCCAGTGTCAGGACCCCGATCCTAAGCCACATCGATCTAGCATGTAACACATCATATCACTTTGTGGCCTCACGCATGGTATTCCCACAGGTGCCACCTTACCTGGCCTGGGACCGTTTGCACCTTTCGGCTCACGTATATGATAGTGTCGCTACATCCATATGACAAAGAACCCGGGCCGACATGACTAGTCGTAAACCCAGAGTGGCACTAACTTACAGGGGCAGGCATACATGACCCAACAATGAACATGTCGTTCATCAGTGAGTGAATTTGGGCTGTAGCAACTGGGCTAGCAGGACTCTTGGAATCTGGGCTGTAGTAGGCTAACAGGACTCTGAAAGACACCGTGTGACATTTCTCCGAAGGGACAGACACAGGATCGAAGAAGGACACATGCCAGCCAATCTAAGTGTTTCGGAGCAGTAGCAACTGGGCTAATAGGAGTCCAGTAAACCGGGCTGTAGCAGACTATCATGGCTCAGTGGAAGCACTAGACTACATTTCCCCATAAGAGAGGCTACCAAGGATAAAAAACTAGGTTGTCGGATCCCACACATACCAAGCATTTCAACAACATACAGGCAATATGCTCGATATGTGCAAATACAACATGGCATCACAACAT